ATTGGTGATTTCACATCGATTATAACCCAAATTTTAAATCCCAACACCTATATTGCTGTTATTATTTTTTAAAATCATCAAAAATAATTTTTGAATCTTTTGGCTGTAGTAATACTAGGTATAACTAATATAGTTCTATGTTACATTGACATTTTGTTTTGACACGTTTCATAGGTATATTGTAAATCAGTTTCCAGCTATTCTCCGTGCGTAGAGGTTTTCTCCCCGGCTCTGAAACTCAATTTTTTGCAATGTATGTTACCTGAAGTCATATTTAATTTAATAATGAACATTACAGTTTTTTAACAAGATGTGTAATCTTTTACAACTATATGTAATTTAAAGGGTTTTTACCCATGTATTTTTGGTGGCTCAGGCATTTTAACCTAGTAAGTATAGCCATTTTGCTTTTTTAACCATAGTCAAAATTTCATAACCACGTTTGTTTTAACTAAATGGTTTATACTTATTTTAGGCGATTTTAAACCTGATGATAGACTGTTTAGTCCGAAAACGTTTGTTTTTTTTATGTAGCCTTTTAAGGGTTTTTAAATAAATATACCCACTTAAGAAGACTAACTCCTTTTTTGTAATATTCTTTAGTTTTTCTTCTAAAATTGGTTTTCTGTTTGGACCTAACTTAATGACATCTAAAATACTTCATTTTCTGAGGGGCAATTTCTTTTGGTTTTATTTTTTATGTGAGTCTCTTAAAATGAAACTTCAAAAGAATTTTGTTAAATTGTTAGGGTAAAGGGTTAACTTTTTTCTATTAGAATACTTCGAATATGAAGCCAGCCAATTTTGGTGCCGTCAGTAGCTATTTTTCGGTTAATAATGTTTTTTTAACTCGGTCAAATAATTTAACGTCATAAAACTCAGTTGATCTTATCTTAGTAACAAGAAACTCTTTTTCTTTCGTTCGGCAGCTACGCATAACGTTCATGTATTCCTCTGGTATGTAAAGTCTTTGTTGATGCTTTAGGGCTGATTCTATAGTAGCAAAATCCGAATCATTTGGTAAGAAGCTGTGTCCCGAATATAAAAATTTTAGTGTTATATCTTCCAGTTCAGGGGTACTGTGTAAAATATATTTTAGCATAGGAGTAAGCTTAATATTTCGGTTCTGGCCGCCACATGAGTCAGTCCATAATATAAGATGACGGACAGTCGGCAACAAGTTACTTTTTACATGTTTAAGGATACAAGAACCTACTTCCTGAACACCTCGTCATGCGACGCCCTCAGCCCAAACACAACAAAATCCCCTATCGTCCTTTTCACTATGTATCCTAGCATTATAATCCCATAGCTTACATTTATAAGAAACTATTTTTGTCGAGATTCTTGGCAGAGGCCAAGTTTTTTCTAGATCAAAAGTAAGAGATTCCGCGTGATCTTTGTTTTTGGCTGATAAAAAATCTTCTCTATTTTTTTAAAAAAAGCAATTACCCTTCTCAATAGCATACTGTGGGACCAGGCAATATCAAACAACAACAAACATAGAATATGCAATACAATTGTTAAGAGTATAATCACTTACAGCAGTGAAGTATGGCAAATAAAACAAAGATACAAGAGAAAACTTGAAGCAACAGAAATGGATTTCTGGAGGCGCTCAGCAGGAAAATCAAGATTAGAAAGGGTAACCAACAACAGAATTAGGGAAATAATGAATGTGAAACATACAATAGTAGATAACATTAGTACCAAACAGCTTAGAATTAGATGAAGACCTTTGGATGGACCGAAGTGAATGGCTACTAGGCATCGGAAAACGTAGGAGAACGTTTTAAAACCGATATATATATATATATATATATATATATATATATATATATATATATATATATATATATATGTTAAATGTTTAAGTTACATATAATAGTGTAGTTCTGATCTGGAGAGCCTAAAGTCAAGTAAATTATAGATAGAAAACTCTAGAAATGTCAATGGAACTGTATACATAGTACATAACAGACAAGAAATCATTCCAGAATTTTCAAATAGAAACAAATAGAATGATTCGAACATTATTTCATCATAATCAATGGTGCTACAGCCCTATGAAAGAGCCTCGACCTTCCCAAGTCTATTACGCCAGGCAGTCCTATCCATTGCCAACCGTTGCCAGTTTGCTGCACCTATCTTTTTACCATCCTCATCTACACCATCCTTCCATCTGAGTTTTAGCCTACCCCTTTTTCTGCTTCCCACGGGTTGTGACATAAGGATTCTTCTAGGAGGGTTGTTCTGCTGTGATCTTGCTAGATGTCCTGCCCATCTTAATCTTCCTATTCTTATAAGAGATACTACGTCTTTACCACCAAATATTTGTTTATATCTGTGGTATACCTCGTAGTTGTATCTCCTCCTCCAAACACCATTTTTACAGATGCCACCAAATATTCCTCTCAGGATCTTTCGTTCAAATATAAGCAAAAGGTCTTCGTCTGCCTTGGAGATGGTCCATGTCTCCGATCCATATGTCAACACTGGCTGTATAAGGGTTTTGTATATAGTTATTTTTGTTTTTTGGCTTAAGTTTCTACTTCTCATATGTCTACTCAGTCCAAAATAGCATCTGTTTGCCATTACTATCCTTCGCTTGATTTCTTCCGTTATGGCGTTCTCTTTGGTGATCAGGGAGCCTAAGTATGTGAATTTGTCAACCACTTTAAAGGTAGAGTTATCAACCGTGAATTGGGGACCGATGTTCCTGGCTCTATTGTTGGGTGTTGATGCCATCATCTTAGTTTTCTCCTCATTTACTTGCAGGCCAATAGATTTTGAGGCATTTGAGAAGGTGGTATACATTTCTTCTAGCTTGCGTGTTGTGCGGGCAACTAGGTCCACATCATCTGCTTATGCCAAAATTTGGGATGATTTATTAAAAATATTGTCTCTGTTGTCTATTCGGGCATCTCTGATTGCCTTTTCCTGTGCTATGTTGAAAAGGAGACACGCCAGCTCGTCTCCCTGTCGCAGCCCAACATGCGTTCCAAACGCCTGTGATTGTTGGCCCTGTATTTCGACTTTGCAAACCACATTAGGCATCGTAGCCTTAACCAATCTTATCAGTTTATCGGGAATGTGGAATTCATTCATTGCTTCATACAATTTATTTCTTTACAACATTATTTATTCCTGGAATATTCTGGAAAGAAAAAAGATATATATAGGCCATGTAATTTGGTCAGGGGAGTCAGTTATGAGTTAGAGTTTAGTCAGTCAGTTATGAGTTCAGTTCAGATAAGTTCAGTTACCAGTTCAGTTATCAGTTATCAGTTAGTAAAGTTATAATTCAAGAATTTAGTTACAAGAAGATTATTAATTGAGTTAAGTAAGTTAAAAGATATTAAATCAGTTACAAGATTATTATTGAGGAGTTAGTTATAACAATTTAAGGATTATTAAGTCAGTTATTTATGAGGTTATGAAGAGATTATTCAATGCTAGAAGAAAGCATTGATTAAGTTAAATGAATTATTAAGTTAAATACAGTTGGAGATTAATTATTACTACAGTAATATAGTGACAGTTTTGAAGTTAATTCATTGAAATAAGCATTCAATAATACAACCACAAGATCCAGTATATTTCAAAGTACATTAAGTATATGGAAATTACAAGGAGTTAAATATATATTTATATGGTGAGTGGAGATAATTAAAAAGGAAGATATTAACATAGTTGGATAACCAAGGCTTAGTAAGAAGATATCGAGTGGTGATAATAACTTTAATTGTGGAAAAACTTTAGGCGTTCAGTGAAAGAAGGTACCAAATTTTGTTAATAATTTAATAATTGTAAGAATTTCAAATTTTAGATAAATTGTTTTAAATTGATATTGCTTATATTAGATAGATAGGTTTGTTTTATAATATTTATAATAAAGATAATTTAAAAAAGTACATACAAACTAATTCTTTGAGAACCGCGATAAAAACCCTATACTTACATATATCATTCAAATTTACTCGTTGCTCATACAACAACAACATCATAACAATATATATATATCTTCTCTTCTTAATCTTTGGGCGTTTCCGGCGATCTCAAGGTGTTTGTTGTGCTTTTCTTGTAGTTATTTTTTTATCTGGATCGGTTTCATTCTCTGCTTGAATTTTAAGACTATCGCAAGAGTTACAGGTATCATTTTTTAAACGTTTAAATTTCAAATTAAATTTTTCGTAAAAAATTTTTTATATGATGCTTGGCTTACTGGATTTTGGTTTTTTTCACAGCACATATTATACATCTTTTGAAGAGTTACTTCCGGAGCCAAAAATTCGTGGATTGTTTGTGCTCGACAGAAATGCGACTTATATTTTGTAATTTTTTTTATTTGATCCACAACAGTTTGTATTTTCTGCTCGCTTAATTTATTGTGCCCTCCTTGCTTTACCTCTCTTTAATCAGTTATAGGTGCCTCCTCTCTAAACTTTTTGAGCTCAGTATTTATCCCAAAAGATGTAATACCATTCTACATCTCCCTACAAACAAATACATTTTGTATTTTATATTTTTTGCTAAATTCCCCTTATTTTAAATCTCTTCCATATGTGCGTTTTTTGGGGAATTCTTGAACTCCTGCTACAATGAAGTTAACTTGACAATCATAAGATTTTAAAAATACAATGTCTCAAATTCACTTTTGCGTATATCAGTAGAAATCTTGTCATTACATTTTAAAGTACATTGGCAGTTATAGTCCTTAAACTCTTTCGGTTCAATTTTTTTTTCTTGCAATTATGGTACGACTGATTACTATTCTTTCTTATTGTCTTATCTGTCCTATTTTGAGATTCATACTTTCTTTTCCTTCCTTTTTGTAGCCTTTCTTTACCCTCATTTTTTATCTCGTCATTTTCAACAACACTCTCGCAATCATCTGCTACAATATGGCGATGACCCGAAACTGTTTCTTCTTCCGACATAGAAGACTCGTTTTAAACTACTTCATGGTCTGGATCGCGAATCTTATCATCTTGATCTTCTTAATCCAAAAATGGAACTTGATATTGATGTTTTAAAAGGTCAGATGAAACCACTCTGGTACTTGGAATTGCATCTCTTATAGTTTCTATTAGCCCTTCCCCTCTTGGATTAATACTATCTGACTCTACTTCTTCTTCAACATTAGGTGGTAATTCTGGGCTTGTTTTTTCTTGCCGAGTAAAATATTCCTCTCCATGAATTTTTGTTCTCGCAACTGTTACGTAGTTTAGTTCGATAACTAATGGTTTTATGGAATTTGTTGCATTATCTTCAGCCCAAATTGCACCAACTACCGTCCTGATATTCGGATTTCCAGCATCTTTAAAATGCATCCCTAAAATAATACAAAAAAACAAGTGTTAATACTCTAGCCTTTCTAATAAATTAGTATTTACTTAACATGTAATGTACTTTTCAACTTTTCTTCTTCTCCTCGTAATTCTCTTTTTCTACCTTCATATCGTTCTTCTAGCCATTATATCTCTATATCTTATGCAGAATCCTTAAACTGAGATATTTGGTAAACAAAATCTTCTCCTTGGTGTTTTTCTGCATTTGCAGCCGATCCCGATTTTTTATCTAGCCATTCTATCTCTGTATCTTCTGCAGAATCCTCAAACTGAGGTATTTGGTAAACACAATCTTCTCCATGGTGTTCTTCTGCATTTGCAGCCGCTCCCGATTTTTATCTTTAGCTAAAAGAAGTAAAATATTTACAAAAAAAGAAGTTGGAACCTAACTAGAACAGCCGACAGGTAAAACAAGTCAATTAATCTATAATGTTTTAATATGACTATACCAGAGCTACCTTTTGCATTATTCTCATCATTTTTCGCCATAGCGATAATCTTGCACGTTCTGCTTTTCATTCATTAGCTGTCTGTTGAAATTGTTGATTTTAGTTGTTTACACAATATTAATTGGTTTTTAACACCAAAAAACACAATGATTTGAATATTTTATCTAATTAAAACTTTAAGTAAAGGAATCACTCCGGAGATGATACACCTGCCGCTTTGTAAACGTAAACAAACACAACAAGGGTTGTAAATAAGAGGGTTGATAGGTATTTGCAGAATATAAATTATTTAATGCTAGATCGAGCACTTGGTAGCTTAGGGATTATAAGACAACAGAAAGCTATTTTGGGATAGTAGGTTTTTGCAAACCATAGTATTGACGATAAAATGTCGTTTTATGAGGGTTATTTAAAAATTTCAATTTTGTGGATTCATAGGTTTTTGCATAAGTACGTCCAATTAATTATAATAATTATTATGCTTCCAATTCGGAAATCGTTTTCAAAAAAATTATTGCAAATAGCAATTATTTTAAACATCAATTTCAGTTAGTTGAGTTGCAACAACTATTTTTAGCTTCAGATGGTAATTTACTAACAATTTTATAAATTCGGGTACTGATCGCTGCTTGTATTCTTTGAAATCAAAAAATTATATTTGAATTTTCTTTATTATTTACTGTTTATTATAGATCTTGAAAATGTTAGCTGTAAGTGTTAAAGCTATTATATAGATGATTAGAAATACTGAATTATCTGTTTTTAGAAGTAATTTATTTTTTAAATTTTTTGTTAATGACCAAATGTTTGATATTGATGTATTTCTTCTCAATCTGATTATAAAATAAATCGCACATTGAAATCAAAAGTGGCACTATATAAAAAACTCAATTTTACAGTATAGCTGTTTAAAGTTTTTTAACATGATTTTTATGCCCAGACTTAAAAATAAATTGAAAACAAGCAATGTGATTAGTTTTAAATATTAATTTAATTATCTCTTTTTCAGTATAAAATAACTTTTAAATAAATTAACTATTGTTTGTTGAAAAAAAAGGTATTTGAAAAAAAAATTCAGTATAGTGTCACTTTTGTTTTTATACAATCAATTATTTTTTGTTTAATGGCATATTTAATTCATTAACTCTTCTACTATTCTACTACTCCAATTAAGTAAATGAATGTCAGGAATAAAATAAAAACTAATTTTAGATGAATAAAGTATTCATTTGTATGTAGGTACTACAAAAGAAAGTCTTACTCGAATCAGTAACGACAATATTACGCAATGTTTTAATTAAAATAAAATATTTTAAGAGTATCAAAATAAACTAAGAAAATAAACGAATCGTAACAAAAAATGCAAATAGGCATTTTTAAAAATATGATAATACTTAAGAGCTATTACATTTTCAATTAAAAATACTTTCATAGTAGGATCGGTAATATCCAGGAATCAACCCCGCATCCACAAGACTCCTCACGTCATTTTTCTTCCTTTCGGATATATCCAATTTTTGGTGGTACAATGGTTTAAGTTCTTGAGGTCGGCTGTTTCTGGATGTTCTTTTTGCCAAATCAAGTTCGTTGAAGTCATCAAAATAAGACGTTTAATAGAATATTTTAATTTCATTCTTACGTTCTTTTCAATTTTATTAACTTTTATATCAGACAACTTTCTGTGATTTTCATGTCTTCCTCTCTTTTCGCCTTCTAGAATACCAGTAAAAGAATCTTTTTTTTTCCAGTTTACTTTTGATACACCTGTCAGTTATATCTAGTGTATTTTTGTAGAATGTCTTGCATACTCTGGTTTTGGTACTATTTATTTCAAAATAAAAAGCATTTTTTGCCTTCCTATTTGAATTCATTTTCTTATATTGATATTTCGGGATAATATTTTGAATACTACGAGCTATGTATTCTCTTTGTCGGTCTAAGGAAGCCATAGCCCAGTAAGCATCAAACAGATTTTGCCTTGACCCTCCAAATATTTTATCTGAGCATTTCAGCCGACAGCTATTTCCACAAGTTTGTTACAGAATTTTTGCCGGAAAAACCTTTTTTATTTTGGAAGTTGAAACATATTCTTGACCGGCATTTCTTAAATTCTTCGCAATACTGGCATACTTCGGCTTCTTTTTCTTCTCCTTATTTGGTTTATCATTGCCATCAGATGCTGAATAGGCGGCATTATTGTCATCGTGAGCTTGAGTACTTTGGTCATCTAACTGAGAATTTGAAGCTGTAGGAGCTACATTATCAACTCGATAATTATTGTCAAAATCCCGTTCCAAAAAATCGTCATTCAGCAGCGTGCCAGAGACATCATTTGCAAAATTTTCTTCGACATCATTGCCGACATAATTATGAGCAGTTTGGTCATTTGTAAGATTTTCGTCATTTTTAGTAACTTCAGGTAACTGGTAATTTAGGTCGGTATTTATCCTGCAATTAATTACTTTGGTACTTAATTACTTTTCATCAGTTTTTGAAAGATTAACATTGCTTGCAGAAGTTTTGGTATCATGAGTACCTTGATTAGCTTTAGAGGTTGTAGGCAAATCAGACGACGTACTTGATGAAGAAGTCAAAGTAGATCGGCGGCGTTTCTTTTTTGTGGGTAAGTACGTCCTATCATCGTCTGAGGCGGGAGAAAAGTCGCCATCATCACTGATTTCAGCAGGTAAAAGGTTAGAGCTGTCTCCAATTTCATGTAAATTATTCATAATATTTAAAGCAGAAGATGTTATTACTGTAAATGAAACATCAGGCTGTTAGAAGTTCCTGGTGGAAGTAGGCACAGTATTTTGGGTATTACTGTCATTCCCAATTGCCAGTTGTAATATCTTTTTTCCAATATCTTTTTTCCTCTGCTTCTTGATGGATTCATGATAGTTCTTGTACCTTTAACAAATAGTACTTTTTTAGGTTATATTCAAAAATTAAAGTCATTGGTAGTAAATACATAGAAATCTAAAGTGATAAACTTATAAAATAATGAAATTAGCCTTTTACAGTTTTATCTTTTATAAAATAATAACTAATAAACGTGATAAAAACAAAATGTTGGTGTTTAATATCCTAATTCTCTAATTAAATATACATTTTTAAATAAAACAATGACACTTTACTTAAAATGACGTCTATTTATATATATATATATATAATATATATATATATATATATATATAGGTTTTTGAACTTCTAAATGCGCTAAGGCCTTCACCTCATTCCAGGACTTTCCTTGTTTTCTTATCTCGTCCATGATGGATCTTCTCCAAGTTTGTACTGGGCGACCTTTTTTTCGTTTTCCTTGGGGATTCCACTCTAGGGCAGTCTTTGCAATACTGGAGTTATTTTTTCGGAGTGTGTGACCGATCCAGCCCCACTTTCTGGACTTTATTTCATTTACTACCCTCTTTTGTTTGGTCAGGTGTAGTAAATCTTCGTTTCTGATGATGTTAGGCCAGAAAATACGAACAATTCTTCGTAGAAATTTATTAACAAAGACCTGCAGTTTGTCTATAAGGGTTTTTGTCGCTTTCCAGGTTTCACATCCGTAAAGTAATACAGACATGACATTTGACTGGAATATGCGGATCTTTGTCCTCGTAGTGTAGTCTCCAGACCTCCAAACAGGGTTGAGCATGCTGAAAGCTTGTTGCGCTTTTCGTATCCTCATACGAATATCGTCTTCTGTACCTCCGCTTTCGTCTATTTATTATGGCAATAAATTAAAAATATGACATTTAAACCACAAAAATGACACTAAGCACAATATGCCCCTTATTTATTCTATATAAACACAGTTATCTAGAATAGTTGAGTAAAATATCGGCACTTTACAAAATATGCCAATAACGAAATCATAATTTGTTGTATTTTTACTATCAAGTAATTGAAAAAACGACATTATACAAAAATATGTCACTTTTCCACTCACCTCGGCTAAGACTCGTTGCGGCGGCTGGACCTTTACTGGTTTAGTGTCGGTTTTTTGGTCACGACCCATGCTCGCGACAACAAAGTAAGAAGTGACATTAACGACGTCTACAGAAAACCGAGCGAGCTATTATAACGGAGATCTTTGCAACATACGTAGTTTTGCTCGTAGATTTTAGATATCGTTGTAACTAAAAACTACCGAATTTTGTATAATGCCACTTTTGATTTCAATGTGGGAAATAGTGTCTAATTTTTCTGTAGTTTTTAAGTCTGGTGAAAGATTTAGAAATAAAAATCAAAAGTGTATAGCCTTAAAATACACCACGTGCATGCAGGAAAAAGGGAAGCTGCAGTTGCTACCAAGGAAAAATCGTCTGCAAAGCTTTATAAAGAGTTACAAACACCCGAAGTAATGAAATGGTTATACAGTATTGCTGAAGCAAGGGACAAGCCGTCAGAGGACTTAACTCACCTGCGGCAGATTAATAGTTCGGATGGAAGAGTGGTAAGATCCAATATTTAAATAAAGTAAAGCTGGTATAAGTGCTTTACAAAGTTGCTAAATAAATAACACCAGAGGAGAGACCGAAGATACGGGACTTTTAATAAAAATGTAATAGTAAGAATAACGAGACGTGAAGTTGTCCAGATTTAAATATAATGAAGAATGGTAAGGCGGTGATGGAATACCCGTGGATCTTTGGAAGGATCAAAGGGGTTGATGTGTTGTTGCAAATGATAAGTAGGATATATGAGGAAGACAGGATGTCGAATGCGTAGGAGCAGCGCAACGTTATTAATATTAAACTGTAGAGCGAAGGTTAAAAAGGTAGACATCGGTGTTGTCTTGTTTACTTTTAGACAGTTATAGAGATATACTTCGAGAATAGAAGAGAGCCATATTTGGTATTTATAGGTCTTGAGAAAGCATTTCACAAAGTTCGTAGACGAGAGCTCCACCTGAAGCCGTTGGTTAGCACAGTATTTTGCAAGTTATCGAAATCATTATGACAATTTGCAATATTCACACTTGGCAACACTGTCCATACATTTACAATTGACCAAGCATTGAAAATATAACTTTACTATTCTATGCCTTTTATTTGAGCGTGTTTTAAGATATTTCGCACGAAGTTTGTGTTATTTTATAATTCTATTATAAGTATGTTGTTTTCGGTAATTCGTGAGTTTGTTTCGTCTAATTCCATCATAAATATTACGCCCAAGAAGTGTGAAAAGATTATCACATTAAGTGAACAAACTTGTGTCACAAAGGGAAATCGCAATAATGTAAAAGTGGATCAGGGGGAATTAAGCGAGATTTTAAAACGTAAACGAGAAACGGGATCAATAGATGTGAAAAGCTTAGAAAAATGAGAAGAAAAGAAACAAACAACACTAGCAGATAAAAGATGTTTACTTCGAAAGAGCAAATTTTACCGAATAAAAACAAGCCAAGAGCTCCAACAAGATCTAGCAGCATCAGATGTAGTGATTCATGACTTAACTGTTCGAATAAGAGTTTTGAAAAATGGTGGAAGGGAAATGCATCAACAGAAAAAACAACTGTTTTTAAACAATAAAAAAAACAAGCAGGGACAGTGATAATCGAAATTCGTCGGGAAGTCTGACAATGAAAACTTTACACCACCTCATATTAATAAAACAGTAAAACATCCAGTCAAAAAAATATTTTGTGGATGTTTTTCTTACATAGGAGTTGTATCTTTGGTACCAATTGAAGGCATGATGAACAGCCAAAAATACAAATCCATGTTAGAACAGTGTTAGGACAACTCCAAAATGTTAATACCATAGAGGAGCGATTCTTTAACAGGACTCCACTCCCTGTCAGAAGTAAAAGAAATTGATGGTTTTTTTTTAATAAGAATATTAATATTTTCGATTGGCTCGGTAATTCGCCAGATCTCAATCCCATTGAAAATGTTTGGGCCATTTGCAAGGCTAGCCTGCCTGAAATCAACTATACTACAAAAATAATAGACTGAAGCGGTCACTCAGGTTTGGTTCCAAGCTGAAAACATATCTGGGAACTGTCCAGCAAAGAAGCACGTAGAATCTATGCCAAAACGGGTAAAAGCAGTAATTTCTGCCAAAAGGGGATATATTTTCTACGGAATAATGTATAATAAAAGTTTACCTTTATAGGTTTGTCAAAAAATATCATTTTTTTTCTAAATAAACTGTCTTTTTTCATTTAAATAGCCTATGATTTTATTAATTCGCACAGTACTGTACGTGGGAGTATTGCTTATACTGGCAATCATTTGGTAAAAATACTAAAAGGGACTTATAACAAAAACTGGAATAATGGAGATAAACTTTTAAAAAAAAGTATCAAAACTTAGTAGGATAAAAACAGAGTATTCCTAATGTTTATTTAATGAAGGAGTAACTTCAAATAACATGATAACTTTAAAATATGAAATGATTGATATGTTCTTTTTTTTTAATAAAATGCATATTGTCTAGACCAGGGCAGCGTGCGCCGCATCGGCGGCCGCGGTGGTGTTAAAAGCGGTCTCTCGTCTATGGTACTTATGTTGTGCAACACAGACGTGTCGTCGTTCGTGTGCTCGCCGCGTCGGCAGCCGCGCGGTCTATGGTGAGTACCATGCGCCCTCGATGGTTTTATGACTTCTGGCGGCACATCAGTAATAGATATCTCGTGCTTCAACACAGACGGGTGACTGTTTTGTAGCTGTTTTATTTCGTTGCTTTTGTGAGTGTTTGCCAAATTTTGTATATTATGGAAGCTATAGCTATCGATAAATTAATTACCGAAATCCAAACACGGCTAGCAATTTGGGATATAATATAATATTTGGGATATAACTTATGGATATAGGTTTTCAATTTTTTCGTATTTTCATTTAAAAAAATTATATTATCTTTAATGCTTAAATATTATATGCTAACCAAGGTTTTTTAAAAATGTTGATTTGGAAATGAAATACTTATTAAATAAAGGGTTATATTAAACATAATTTATACAATTTAAGTATACTTGCACCTATTGGAAAAAACAAATCGTCGTCACTTTGACTATTGACGTCACTGATTCTAGAGACATCATTATACCATTCTACGTCCAAAACTCGACTAGATTTGACAATACCGAATACAATGGCAAAACTACTGCCGCTGTTAGACACTTTACGTGTTTTAAGCCGCGCGGCAGCCGACGAGGCGCAGTCGCGGCACAAACCGCCCTGTCTGTGTTTAAACTTAGTATTACGGCTACGCCGTTTTCATCGTTTGCCCCAGAGTAATTTATCTGATAGTCTTGAGAATTGTACTGTCCGTTGTTTAACCACCTTGTTTCATAGACTCCTAATTTTGATCTTGGTTTCACATAATACAACACAACTTTGATTCCACCAACCAGTATATTTATTTTAATAAATAGTTAAATATAAATATACTTATAAATAAAAATAAACAAACTCATCTAACTTTTATTTTTAATTTTAATCTTAAAATTTATAATTTTTTAATATTTCTTGAATTTCTACAATGCTTTTACCTCTGGTCTCCGGAAGATACAAATAAATGAGTAAAGCACCTAAAAAACAAATTAAAGCAAAAATACACATGCACCAGTGACCGCCAATAGCTTCTGCAACTAATGGATAAGCTGCCACGGACAGTGCTAGCATTAAGTTAACTGAGGTCATTATAAGAGCAGCAGCAGACGAGCGAAGGTCAGGGGTAAAAAACTCTCCTATTAGAGGTATTGAAATGGGACCAAGTCCGATTGAGTAAAATATAATAAACAATGAAACAAAAACCAGCGGTACCCACTGAAACTGAAGAACTAAAGGAGAGTTTATATATCTTAAATAGAAAAATGTACCCAGAATCGATACAGATAGTCCAGCTCCCACACAAGAAATAAGAAGTAAAAGTCTCTTGCCTACTTTTTCGATTATGTTTGATATGAAAAGATATGTTGTTGACTTGACAACTCCCATAATAATTGCTAGTGTACTTCCCGAAAGATTGGAACCAGATTCGTTTAAAATAGGGGCCATGTAGGGCATGAGTACTGGCACACCACACAAATATTGTACAGTTACAGGTAACAAAGCTAATAGCAACCCTTTTCTTGTTTCTTTTGTTCTAAATAACCCTAAAATATTGCTTTCTTTAGATCCTTTTGCCAGACAAATAATATCGTCAATTTTTTTCAAGTCGACTTCTAATTCCTTATCAGTTTTATTATTTCTTAATTTTCTTATAGCTGCTATACATTCTCCTCTTTTTTCTTTAGCTAATAAATAAACAGGGCTCTCTGGGGCAAAATGAAAAAATAGCAAAAACGGAATCATAGGGATACCTATTAACAAAGTGAAAAACTTTAAAATTGAATATAGGTCCGATGCTATATGTATATAATTGACCAAGTGGAACGCAAAGGCCCATCAGGCATCCATATTTTGATCTATTATGATCTTCACATATTTCTGTTAGATAAGTAGGAGTTATGCCCCAAAAGCCATAATAGCAGGTAAAAACAAGGGTTATAAAAAATATTAGTGGATATATTTGCGTTGTAAAAGCTGCTCCTATAATACAAGTAAAAATTAATAATCCTAGAACTTGTAAGCTTCGTTTTCGTCCAATCAGATCTGCTAACTTTGGAAGTAACATTGATCCAATCAATCCAACTGTCGCTGGAATGCCAACCATCATAGAGATTTCGACAGTTGTGATTGGTTTTCCAAGAGGATTTATATTGGTATCGTTGGATTTTAGTTTTAATATTGCCGACGACGACCAAACAATTGTATTGCCTCCAACCATCCATGTTAAAACTCCTAAAAAAACAATGAATTTACATAAAATAAAATTTAAACATTTATAACTAAAATAACACTTCGTCAAAAATTCGCAGTGTTTTCTCAAAGTACAGTATAAAAAAAGAACTAGAAAAATAAGGTACCAGCTATGAAAATATTTAACAAAAATGTAAGACAACAATAATAATCCATTAAAATCTTACATTTTTTTGCATTTTTTAGAAGGTGCAATTTTATTATTTTCATGTGTTGGAAGGGTAAATATAAGCCTAAGTTCAAATTTGTGAGGTCGTTACCCTTGTCCCCCGGTCGCCATCTTGTAAACAGGGGTACAAAGGGTTTGGTAACTAGCAGCCCTGCAGAAAATTATAATAAAAATTATATGTAGCAAATTAAATTGTCGACAGCTTATAATATGTCGTTAAAAACAAAAATAACGAAAATTTTGGTTTGAGAACTTTTTTCTGGTAATCTTACATAAAACGACAACAGAGGGATATTAAAGAGGGTTTTCCAAAGAATAATTTTTACAAATTTGTTCATTAATATCTCTGGATTTTACACCGCTATGAAGTTGAATATGAATATATTTCTGAGTATGCGCAATCTTAGAATATGGGATGCAGAAGGATTTTGTACTTTATCTAGTAAATTAATAACTCTACAAAAATTTTTATTTGACATTAGTTTTAGCAAATTGAATTGTCTACAACTTTATTTTTATTACTTTTTATCATTAATTGGAAAATAAAAAAGCTATTAACACAAATAACTAAAAATCTTTAAGTAAATTTCCTTTTGAACCTTGGTCAATGAATGACATCAGTGTCATTAATCATTAAAGAACTAAATCTGTGTTTTAAATAATATTTTATTTAAATTTTTTTTTTTTTAGCCACAAACTCGCATCAGCCCCGTAAGGCTATTAGCGAAAAAGAAAAAGTATTAACAATAATTGAATAGCTTAACAATTAAATTTTGCATAAATAGTTTATTGCTTTAAGATATTAAATAATCACTTTGGCACTGCACTTTAAGAATAGTTCTCTCAAATTCTCCGGGATTCCGAATTTACATCTTTCTGCACTGTACAATAACAAATTAATCCCTTAATTTGTAATTCCACAATATTCTTAACTTCTTAACCTTTTATAGTTTCACCGTGTATAATTGAGACATTGTAAATCTTTGTCAAGTAATATTTTAATAATTGAAGTCCATTCACCCGTTAATAAATTGTCCAATAATATATTTTTCTAATTTGAACTTCCTAAGTGTTGCAATTACGGCCCAGATCAAACTGTATTGTAGGCTCATAGTTCAAAGTTTGTTAGTATGATAAAAGCAATAACCTCTGTGCTGAGGTATACATTATTTGTGACATTATAAATTGGGGATTTGAGCTCATGTGAGCTAGTATATTATATATAGTTACCTAACTAACATCATTTAGTGTAATTAGTAGTAGCTGTCGTAATATGAGTAGAGTTCTAGTCTTTTTTGACATAGCTGATATATATTTGATGTGGTCCTTCCAGGTTAAAGCTTGATCAAATTTTAAACCTAGATATTTAATTGTATTTACATATTCAAGTATCTGACTCCCAAGTTTTAAAGTAGGTATTTCTTTTATCTGTTAAAGTCTCTCTGAGAATATGATGCAGCGAGTTTTAGATGAAGCAAATTGAAAACTACTCCTTTTAGACCATGCTATAAATTTATCAAGTTGATCTTGTAGTAATTTGGCCATACTCTGTGTATTGTTTCCATTTTAGAATATTATAAAATCATCAGCGTACAATTTTGCTTAAATGGGTAATTTCAACAATTCTTCTGGGATTTACAGCACTCCAAAATTGACCGGGTTCTTGATTACTCCTAAGAATACGATAAAAACAAACCATTAAACTTAGTTTTCTATTTTTCCACTCATATACATACTTTTAAATAAATTCATTACTTTTTTAAAATAATTCCTATCGTGTTATTTATATATTATAGACCTTTTCCGCCATCACAAAACTTATCCCATCTACGATTGTGTCGCACGAAAAAGCACCATTCGATAAATAAAAAGTTTAATAAGAGCACCATCGTACCAATATGGTCCCAAGATAAATTTCTTGACGAAAACAGGAGAAACAAACCTAACATACCTTTTCAAAACTGCTGTCAAAAGAGTTTTAGTGTCAACCAGGAGGAATCTAAAGCACATACAGTTATAATCTGTTCTGCGCTTGCTGTATTTCAATCGTATGATTTTGGATGAAAATAAAACACCAACAAATAAATCACTATAAAATGTATAAATATTAGTCATCTACTAGCACGAAAATATCTAAACACAGAAATAACCAGTAAAGACAAGCCATTTGGCAATTCAACATAATAGAATTATCACAAGCAGTGTTACATATGAAAGCGGAATATGGCCATTAAGAAGAAAGCCATGAGGACTTTAAAAGTAAAAATGGAATATTGGCGGTGTATGTATTAGTATTACGGGGGTCTAATTTTCCCCGTAAATGACATGAAACAAACTAGAAAAAGGCCTTAGTCCCCGGCGGCCCAACGGTCCCTGGTGACGGTAGCCATCAGATTGGACCAAGGGCAGAGGGTGCAAAGAATCACCGGGATAGACACGGCTACCATGGATAACGAACATTACATATTGGCACTTACAACGTAAGAACGCTTGCAACTGAAGACAAGCTCATTGAATTAGAGGAAGAACTTAACTACATAAAATGGGATGTATTGGGACTTTCCGAAATACGAAGAAAAGGAGAAAATAAATTAGTTTTAAAATCAGGGCATCTGCTACACTCCATTGGAGGAAACGATAAGGCAGCTGGCGGCGTAGGCTTTCTGGTGCACAAGAAACACCTAGATAAAATTATAAAAATAGAGAGTGTAAGCTCAATAGTTTTGTGCCTCATATTAAAACTGAACGAGAGACGCTCTATTAAAATTATCCAAGTATATGCACCCACGACAAGCCATAGCGATAAAGGAATTAAAAACTTTTATGAAGATATACATAGAGCTATAAAAAAATATAAAACCCACCACCTAATCTTAATGGGTGATTTTAACGCTAAACTTGGATTTAAAGAATATAACGCAGAAGTGGATATGGGTTCATTTGGATATGGTGAACGAAATGATGGAGGAGGTGTGCTACTACATTTTTTGTTGCATCATCGGCTCTATGTGATGAACACATTCTTCAAAAAGAACCAACAACGTAAGTGGACGTGGGCTAGTCCAGATGGCATAACAAAAAACGAAATTGATTTCATCATCACAAATAGAAAAAAATATTGTCCAAGATGTTACAGTAATCAATAAAATGACTGTTGTGAGTGACCATCGGTTGGTTAGGGCAAACATAATGATTAAAATTAGACGAGAGAGGACAGCAATGACAACAGAGAGGCATTCTAATAAATGGAAATCGATAGAAGATAAAGTAGCTTATCAGAATTTCATAACTTCAGAATTGAGAGAAGTAGATCAACTAATGAAAATGCATTAGATATAGAGGTGACAAATATGCGAATAAATAGTGCGCTTTAGGAATGTGCTCGATAAAGAATAGTGTGATGGGGAGCAATGTTACTAAATGTGTTGAAAAAATGTTCAATGCTTGTTTGATAAGAGGCATAACCCCCTCCCAGTGGCATAATGCACTAATAACCATGATGCACAAAAATGATGACATTTCAGACCTAAAGAACTACAGACCTATTAGTCTGCTCTCCAATACATACAAACTATTCATGAAGATAATAAACAAAACGGCTTGTGAACACGTGAACAGGCTGAATTCCGCTCCAGATACGGAACAAATGATCATCTGCAAGTTGTAAAAACGCTGATAGAAAAGTGTACAGAGTATAACAAGCCTATCTTTCTTATATTCGTAGATTATGAAAAGGCGTTCGATACTATAGATCATAATAAAATGCTTCGAGCATTGGCTGACTGCCGCATTGACCACCAATATATTGCCTTGATTAAAAGTATTTACGAAACTGGTACAGCTTGTGTCCGCCTTCATGAAGATACCAAGAAGTTTCGAATAGAACGTGGAATTAGACAAGGTGATACTATCTCCCCTAAATTGTTTACAGCTGTTCTTGAATATATGTTCAAGCAAGTAAAGATCTGAACCACCTAAGATTTGCCGATGACATCGTTTTAATATCTGATAGAGTTGATAAAGCTACAAAAATGCTGCACACGCTCTATAAAGTGGTAAAAACAATTGATCTTAAAATTAACACCTTAAAAACAAAATTTATGACCAACCTTGTAGTCAGCGGTAAAATTCTGATTGAGAGCCATAGCATCGACCAAGTAATAGCTTACAAATATCTAGGACATGAGATTCGCCTAGGCCGAGATAATCAGACAACTGAAATACCAGACTTTGGTATATTGAATAACATTTTTCAAGTCTAGTATCCCAGTTTGTTTAAAAAGAAAGGTTTTTAACCAGTGCGTTTTGCCGGTTATTACATATGGTGCAGAAACACTGACTCTGACAAAAGGAATAATAGATAAAATAAGAGTTACACAACGCGCTTTGGAAAGATCAATATTAGGTATTACCATCAGAGATAAAGTACCAAACCTAGAAATAAAAAGAAGAACAGGAGTCACAGATGCAGTTGAAAAAGTAGCCAGGGCTAAATGGACTTGGGCCGGACATGTTGCCAGATTAACGGATGACAGATGGACCAAAAAGATTCTGGAATGGCGAACCAGAGCAAGATGCATATCGAAGCAGAGGACGACCACCGACTAGATGGACGGATGATATCAAGCGCATTACCACAAACTGGATGCAAGAAGCTCAAGACAGCAATAGGTGGAAAATTTTACGGGAGGCCTACGTTTCAGCAGTGGACAAACATAGGCTAATTGATGATGATGATGTATTAGCATCACAGCAGAAAAAAATATAAAAACAGGCAAGAGGAATCGATGTTTATGTGAAATCAACTGTTAAAGAACAAAAGTAAAAAGAAAATCAACTTACCTGTTGCAACTGTAAAATATAAGAAAAAAGTATCGGGTCGTTTTGCTTTATATTCCGGCTTTAGCTTGCTTACATTTCGCTCTTCAGTGGGTATGTACTTAACTTCTTCTAATGCATTATCTCTTTCAAAAGTATTGCTTTCAACCATTTTGAACCAGTTCAAAACTATCCTCTTATACACAAAAATGACATTCTATTGTTCAAAAATTATTTCAATATATTTTAGGACTGATTTATATATTATAATAACATTTATATAAATTTAATTTTTCGGAACTGTTTTATATTCTTGTATACCTTTTGTTAAGACAGGAAAGATAAGGTGTAATAAAAGAATTAAAATAATTAATATACAAATATTTGCTCGGATATATTTTTTTAGTTGTTAACATTAACAATGTAACAAAGTTACAGTGGTATTACATTTTTGAGAAATGTAACATCTTGGAAAAAAGGAGGCACATGGTCTTCGCGCTGTATCTCGTAAATTAGCATCTCTACAGAAAATTTTATAAAACATTATTTGCAGCAAACTAAATTGTCTACAACTTAATTTGAATTACTTTTAATGGCAAAACAAATATAAAAAGGTTATAAACAAAAACCCCCAAAAATTTTTGTACAAAGTTTCTTTTGGACCTATAACTTTTTTCTTGCGATTTTACAATAAAGCAAGAATGTAAAAGGTTTTTAAAATAATAATTTTCTCTGTAAATTTGTTTAATTTTACTGATTTCTTGGCATTTTACTGTGCTTCGAAATTGACCGGGTTCTTGAATACCCATCTTGGAATAAGGGATCCAAAGGGTTTTTGTGCTGTATGTCGTAAACTAACAACCCTAGAAAAAAATTTATTGAACATTATTTGTAGTAAATAGTATTATTTACAACTTTATATTTATTACTTTTTAGTGTAAAAGTAAGTAGGAGGTTTGGACTTTATTTTAACATCAAAAAAACCAAATACATGGTTATAAGCAAAAATAGAATACCACCTGGTCAATTACTATAGATAAAGTCACGTTCAGATGGCAGTGTACGGATATAGGATAACAGCGTTGCCAATTCTACTGCCATTGTAAGTTTTGCTACTTTTGTAAAATAAGCAGGGCCAAACTCACGGTAAACTAAGATATGTTTAGGTAAGCTAAAGTTGTTAATAGAAAATTCGTGAATGAAATAAATGGTAATCATTCCTAAAATGCTTTTATACATAATACCGCAGTTAATAGGGAAAAAAATATGAAAAATATTCTACAGGTTTTTTAGTGTTTTAAACGGTAGATAAGGGATAACTGATGATAATTCCTTGTAGAATTACAGCCAATTATGCTTTGTTTATTTTTTAAAGAAAGATGAAGTTTGGAAAAAATCATTTTTTTGCCTATTTTGTTCCTCGTGCATTTTAGGGAAAAATGTTTCAAATAAATGTTGCAGATCTTAAAAAGTTTTTTAATTTTTAGTTTGTAAATTAAAATATATAAACAAATGACTGAGATAATTGCAAAAAAACCCTAATTGAGGCCCCTAGAACACAAGGGTGTAAGTGCAGTTGCTTATCACTTAGCAACTGATATCTAACAACAGGCACGTACTTTTGGCTTCAAACTTTCTACATTAACAACAATAACACCATCAAAAATTACATGTCATTGAAAACATGCTGAAAACTGAAAAAGTGCTACCTAGGTTTTTAAATTTATATCGAACTTTGAACAAAGATTTTTCAAAACTTTGTTTTTGGCACTTACACCCCTTGTGTTCTAGGGGCCTCAATTCTGCACTAATTTAATAAATGTTCATAACTTTATTTTTTGCATAATGACGTCTAATATAACTACTTGAAATTATGTCGATTAATGAGTTATTTAAGTGTGCTACATTTCAACCAGATCAACTAAATATTTTATTACCTTTACTGAGAAAAGAATACCCCCGAAAAACAATTTTCAATCATCTTCATTTTCATAATCTAGTTCATCTTCAGAGTCATCGTTTAATGAAATTCTAATAGGTTCAATGTCATCTTGAATGTTGTCTACTGTCCAAAAATTATTCTCCAATTTTATAACATGGCTGACGTAATTTTTCCAATGTCCATTGTTCTGTACTTTATCATAACCTTCATAAATCAATGTTTTAACGTCGTTTTGTTTGAAACTTGAATTCTTAGAGGACACGTACCGTTTCACTTCACTCCACACCATTTCTATTGGGTTCAGTTCACAGTGATAAGGCGGAAGTCTTAAGATATGTACATCTACGCGGCATTGTTCGTCACTGTGATTCCTGTATTTTTCACCAATACAATCAATTTTGTATTTGTCATAAATATTTTTAAATACATTAGCAGTTTCCAGAAGTTCATTTTTTAAGTAATCTTCTTCAAAATAAATGTCCTTTTCATAGAGCCACTCCTTAATTTGACGTTTCACCCAATATTGTTTGGGAAAATTTAATTTCCTAGAGTGATAAGATGCATTGTCCAAGATAATGACATTCTTTTTATTTTTTGGGAGATTCGGTATTAACATCTCTTCAAACCATTTTTTAAATAGATCTCCGTCCATCTCTTCATGGTAATCTTCAGCACCTTTTTTTGGCAAGAAAAGTGATGTCAGCACCTTCAACAAATCCGTCTTTGTTTCCTGCATGGACTAAAACAAATCTTGGTCCTTTTCCGGTCGGAGTTTTTAAACCTGTGGTAAGTCCATTTACGAAAGCCTGTCGGCTATTTTTTATTGTTGTATCTTGCCATACTTGCCCATTGGTTATTCCAGTATTAACCCATGATTCGTCCATATAAATGATATTGGCTCCTTCGTTCCTCAGTTTCTTTATTTCCCGGAGATAGTGACGCCTCCAAGCGACTATTTCTTGTTTTTCTATTAATATTGAATTTCTACCTTGTTTGCCATATATAAAACCCATGTCGTGCAATTGTCTTCTCAACGTACTCTTGGAAAAATTCGGAAGATGCTCCATTTGCTTAATTTTTTCTAGTACTACGTCAAGGGTTGGAGGAATATTGTCCATAAAAAAACCGTGCACTACTTGTCTTATTCTAGACCGAGTTGCTTCATCATATCTATTCTCACGACTATTCAAATAACCGGTTCTTTGTTTTCTTATAGGACTTACAAGTGGACCATTTTTACTTTCACTTCTATATCGGAATATCGTTCGCTCAGAGACTCCAGTCATAGCAGAAACTTCCCGCACTATTGTTGATACACTTTTATCATTATTACTGTTTGATAAATAGTTAAAAACATTTAACACTATTTTTTTGCATTCACTATTTAACAAATTAACGTTTTTGAATTTTATTACACTCGCGGCCATTTTGACACTGACACGACACAAACGTCTGATATCAACTGAAAATTCTTTTAATGACTCTCAAGTATTTACCTGAATTTATAATTGCTGGCATTAGACAATAATTTTGAATTTATAAATAGGTATATTTTTTTAATTCTAAATTATTTTTTAATGTCTGTAACTGTAAATGCAGGTAGAGAAAGTGTGTCATTAAAAGGACATTAAGATCAAAAACGGATTATACAAATAATTATTTCATTTCCACGAATTGTAAACAACTTTGAACAGAATTTATAATTCCGAAAAGACCAGATTTCCGAAATATAACTTTCTATTTTTAAAATACCAACAGAAAAATTATATAATTAAAAAAATGTAGTATTTTTCCGTTTCACATTCATAAATATTTCCGAAATTATAATTCTTTTATAGGAGCCGGCCCATAACGTACGATTGTAGGTACGATTAAAAACTGACAACAATGTAGTTATTTCTGGCATATAGAAAGTACAGGCCTATCTCTGTAACGCTGCCATCTGAATGTAAATTTATCTATAGTTAACTAACAAACTTATAACACAAATCACCAATTTTTGTTATCTGGGTGCAAACTTAAATGAACAGTGCGATCAGTCGACGGAAATTAAAATAAGGATCGAGAAGGCAAGATCAGCTTTCGTAAAAATGAAAAAAATCTTTAACAGCCACGATTGGAAATATCAGTTCATTTACTAAAATGCTACGTATTCTCCGTTCTTTTATATGGCGGGGAGTCATGGACCTTAACTGAAGCATCACTATAGAGACTCGAAGTATTTGAGATGTGGTGTTATAGACGCTATGTTGAGAATTTACTGGATAGACAGAGTTACAAACGAAGAAGTACTACATAGAATAGGTAAAGAGCGTTAACTAGTCGTAACCATAAAACCTCGCAAAATGGAATAACTGGGCCATATAATGCGCAATGAACAACGATATAATCTACTTAGGACCCTACTTCAAGGTAAAGTGCTTGAGAAAATAGATCCAGGACGAAGAAGAATATCCTGGCTGAATAACCCGCGAAAATAGTTTAACTTAACCACTACCGGACTTTTCAGGACAGCAGTCAACAAAGTCAAAATAGCCATGTTAGTGTGCAACATCCGTAACAGATGGGTACCATAAGACGAAGCTGTAAATGAAAAGTAAAACAGGTTTAAAAAAATTGAACAGTTTGGACACACAATATTTGGACTTTATTTATTAACGCAATCTGCATGCTAAGGCCTAAAAAATATATTATTTCAATGGATCATAAATGATCAAAAATACAGAAATTTTTACAGGTTCACGCAAAAACCAAAAATTTTATTGAAGGATATTAAGTGGAAAACTTGGTGATTTTTAAATCAAATCAATCATTCTGCCATCTTGAGGAGCGTTTTGGGTTCGTCATCAATAGGAGTTCCCAACCATTGGGCATATTTTCAGTATTTTTTTACTGACTTTCATAAATCTTGAATATCTGACTTGAAACTTACCTTAAATAACTATCGTAGAGTTACTTGAATGACGATGCATTCCATTGTCATATTTTAGGACTAGAGAAACGGTATATATGCAACACATAATACACGAAGTTGTTATTAGAGATACTGGTTAAAAATTTTAAAAGGCGATACCGTTGATAAGCAAAGGGTTAATAAAGAACGTTTTGTCACTATTTGTATGGTAGAAGAATGAGTACAGTTTAATTCGTATATCATAAATAATGGGAGAAATTGTTTCTGTTAACAAAATGTATTGGTAAGGTTAAGAGTTCACCGGGGTTGGCTGATGGTGGTAAAGTTAATATTGTGGGGTGGTTAGTTGAATATATTATGAGTTGTACAGGTGATCTATAAAGTTATTTAAGTAGTATATAGATAGTATGCCAGTATTCGCTAGAGGTAAGCTTCTAACTAAAGAAGACAAAATAAGCAATGAAACTAAACAGCTAATGACGGAAAGAAGACAACTACTAGCGCAAAACAAACGCCATACTCAAGAATATAGAGAACTTAATAAAACAATTAGAAAAGAACTAAAACGCGACATACAAAAATGGAACGAGAACTTAATAGAGCGAGTCATTGAAAACAACAGAGGCTTAAAATGTCTAAGACCCGCACTGGGAGTTCAAAAAATCATCCTAATTAAAGACGCCAACAATAAGGTAGAGAAGAACAAACATAAAATAACAAATATTGTCGAAACCTTCTACACGTCCTTGTACAGCTCGCAAGGCCAGCCTAATGAAACAACAAAGGAGAACGTCAAAAGAAAAATAAAAACGTAGGATCAGAAGTACTATCAAATATAAAGGGATACGAAATAGAAAGAGCTTTAAAGTAACTAGAAAATAATAAAGCTCCAGGACACGACGGTATAATTGCAGAGCTCTTGAAAACAAGCAAGACTTTAACAATCCCTGTACTAACAGAGCTATTGATAGAGAAGGCAAATGAATACCAACTACCCGTATTTCTTGCCTTCGTCGACTATGAAAAGGCGTTTGATAGTATCGAGATGTGGGCCATAGAACAAGCTATTAAAAATTGTAGAATAGACCCGAGATATAGACAACTAATACATATTATATATGAAAATGCAACTATAATAGTACAACTAGACGAAAATAAAAATCCCATCCTCATTAAGAGAGGAGTGAGACAAGGAGACGTAATATCGCCAAGGCTTTTCAACCTAGCCCTAGAAGACGTCTTCAAAACTACAAATTGGTCAACCTATGCCATTAACCTTAATGGCAACAAGTTAAACCACCTCAGATTCGCTGACGACATAGTAATTATAGCGAGCACATTCGAGGAACTGCAAATTATGTTGGGGAACTAGCAGCCAGCTCCCAATACGTCGGCCTAAAAATAAATATGAAAAAAACAAAAATAATGACAAACACAGAAGACCCCAGACATATAACTATAAACAGCAGTAAGATAGAACAAATCAAGAATATATCTACCTAGGCCAAATCCTGAGACTTGACAAAGAGAACCAAAGTGCGGAAATTACTAGAAGAGCAAGACTAGCATGGGCAGGATTTGGAAAACTTAGTTGGATACTTAAGAACCGCAAAATACCCCAATACTTAAGGAGCAAAGTGTTCAACCAATGTATCCTTCCTATCATGACATATGTATGTCAAACCTGAACCCTAACCAAGGCAAACATGAATAAACTAGCCACAACAGAAAGAACAATGGAAAGAGCAATGTTAGGTATACGACTGTCAGATAAAAAGAGGAACGACTGGGTAAGATCGTAAACAAAAGTCGAGGACATAACAATAAAAATTGCAAAACTTAAATGAAGCTTCGCGGGCCACACTGCTAGACAGAAAGACCAACGTTGGAATACTACAATACAACACTGGAGACCTTACGAAAGTAAACGACCAAGAGGAAGACCACAGATGAGATGGGTTGATGATATTAAAAGAATAGCCGGAACAAATTGGAAATATGTTGCTCAGGATAGAGACCGATGGAAGGAGTTGGGAGAGGCCTATGTCCAAACATGGACGACATAAGGCTAAGAAGAAGAAGAAGAAGCTTACATGTTCCTGGACTGTTAATATTTCTTGTCTCAAATACACATAAGTAACACTTTTTAACAAAATGATAAAAGCTTTTTCTAATAGTTCTTAATATTTATAAATTAATAAGATAATAGATTCGAAAACTTTTAAGTAAAATTAAAAATTTCAAAAAAAAGTATAGATTTAAAGAAATTAAGTATTAACAAATATATATCGACAGTGAATTGAACAAGAGTGAGGGAACTCCAGATGAAAATTAAAAAAAGGTACAAATTGTTAGATCCTCAGATAAACAAGTAAAACAGCATACAGGAAACTGATAGTAGACGAGACAGTATGGAAGTGGAGTCAAAAAGCTCATAAACTTGGTGAAATGAAAAAATATATAAGATCAATGAAGAAATGAACATGGATCCAAAAAACTGGCAAAAAACATAAATAAAACTTGGACAATTAGACATAGATATGTAACTATGTGTTCTAAAATTATCATAGTTAACCATTTTATTTTTTTTTTGTTTTTTTTTGTGGAGTTTTATTTATCTACCTTGTTGAAAATTTGAACTTCTTTGTTTAAGTGATGCGTTTTATCTGTTGTTTAATTTTAAATTCTGTATGCCACTCAAGTAACAATAAAATGTCTGACAAAACTATAATGCTCTTTATTAACTTAAAAACCAAATTACCTAGCTTATGACTATATTTTAAACATAGCTATGGGTTGTGTTAAAACTTTGTTTCTGTAGAATCATAATATGATATAAAACTATAGCAAAGAAAGGCATATTTTCTAAAATAAGTGCAATTTTAGAATAAAAGATCATTTCCAAATTAAATAATTTATTGACAACATAATATATACAATTTGTTTTAATAATAGCATTACGATAATTTAAAAGTTATAACCAAAAAGTATACTAACTAAATTTTATACTGCGTAACTAATAATTTTTTAGCAGCTTCTGAATTTCAACAATACTTTTTCCTGTGGTATTTGGAAATAAAAAGTAAATAAGAAGAGCACCGATCAAAGAAAAAAATCCGAAAATCCACATACACCAGTGATTACCGAGAGCTTCAGCAGCTAGGGGATAGCCTGAAATGTAGCAAGTTAGTATTATATTGGTGAAAGTAAGTATAAATGCCGATGCCGCGGATCGTGCCTCTAGAGGAAATAGTTCTCCAAATACAGTTATTGCAATCGGACCGAGTCCTATGGAATAAGCAATGAAGTACATCATTACACAAGTAAGTGGTATCCATCGAAAATGAAGTACGAAATCTGAACCAATATATTTTAAATAAAAAAACAAACCTAGTAATGATATTGAAACTGAGGCTCCTGTAGACGATATGAGTAATAGTGGTTTTTTTCCTACTTTTTCTACTATTAAGGAACTGCAACCAAAGATAGCGACTTTTAAGCAACCAACCATTATTGCTAATGTATTTCCAGAAAAGTCAGATCCAGATTCATTTAAAATGGGTGCCATTAGGGCCATAAAAACTGGTACACCACATAGATACTGCACTAAAATTGGTAACATTCCTAACATTACACCAATTCGACCCTGTTTACTGTAAAAGAGACTAAGTATATTTATTCCTTTTGATTTTCTTGTTAATAACAAATCCTCACTTATCATTTTAAAATCTTCTTCTAATTCTATATAATTTTTGTTACTACGTAATTTTTTTATTATATTAAAACATTCCTCATTTCTTTCTTTGGACAAGACGTAAACGGGACTCTCTGGAGCAAACGGGAAACAAATTAAAAAGGGAATTAAAGAAGCTGATGTCATTAAAGTAAATACTGTGAACGAAAATATAGAACCTATGGAATAGGCATAAAGTTGTCCAAGAGGTATACAAAGGCACATAATACATCCGAATTTAGCTCTGTTATGATTTTCGCATACTTCTGTTAAATAGATAGGAACTATTCCAAATACACCAGAAAAAAAGAAGCTCAATAAAGTTATAAAACAAAGTAGTACATCCATACGAGTTGAAAACGCCGCTCCACCAACACTTATAAACATCAACCATCCAACAATGTATAAACTTCTTTTTCTTCCTATCATATCGCCTAACTTTGGAAAAATTAGGGAACCAACAATACCCATAATTCCCGGGATACCCAGTAATGTAGATATTTCAACGGTGGTTATTGGTCTACCTAGAGGATTTATACTGGTGTCATTCGACGTCAATTTTAAAACAGCCGGTGATGACCATGCAATTGAACTGCCGCCAGCGATCCATGTTAAAATTACTAAAAATATACAAAAATAGAATTATGTCGTTCTTAACCTTAAGATGAGATTAAACTTAAATCTTATCGTTCTGTACAGTGTTTTTTTTTTATTGACCGCATCAACCGAAAAGGTATTAGCGGAGGAAGAGTAAGTGACAAATAATTGACAGCATTTAAATATTTTTGTACATTATAGCATATTTTAAAAAGTTTTTCACAAGTGTAGTGCACTGGATAAGTAAGAAATGAAGAAGAAAGCTGGGATGACATGCTTGAATTAGCAACATCAATTGACATGGCCATTGTTAACACATTCTTTTAAATGGAGAAATTTAACTTTTACATAAAAAAGTGGATGAATACAGAACATTCAGGACATGGGACATACGACCAGATAGAAATAAGTCTGACAGAAGTCGAGAGAGCAATCAAGACATTGAAAAACAAAATAGCCGAAGGACCCGTAGGGATACCAAACGAACTAATTAAAAACGGAACGGAAAAGTTATTACCGTTCATGCTACACAGAATGTTCGAAAGAGGACTAAATGGAGAGGAAATATCTGCGGAATGAACACATACATTGCATCCATACATAAGAAAGGAAACAGGAAAAAATGTGAAAACTACACAGGAATTAGTATAATATTGTCGGTAGGTAGACTTTACGGGAAAATTATCAAGGAAAAACTAGAAACTGAAATAATAGGAAAAATTGGAGAAGACCAAGCAGGGTTCACAGTAGGAAAATCATGCCTAGATCATACGTGCACATTAGAACAACTGATAGAGAAGAAAATGGCAAAAAGTAGACTGGTCCATCTGGCGTTTGTTGATCTAAAGAAAGCATACGACTCAATACCTAGAGTCAAATTATGGGAAGCAATGAATGATCTCGGAATCCGACAAACACTAATAAAAGCAGTTAAAGCACTGTAAAAAGAAAACAAAGTAGCTATTAAATGTGGAAATAAAGCCTGCAATCCATTTAAGACGACAAAAGGACTTCTACAAGGCTGTGCTACGTCCCCTACTCTGTTTAAAATATTCTTGGAAAAGACACTTAAACCATGGAGGAGAAAGTGCGAAGGAATGGGCATACCAGTAAGAGACGAATACCTATACACCTTAAGTTTTGCCGACGATCAAGTAGTCATCGCACAAGATGAAGAAGATCTCAGCTTAATGCTCAGAAAACTAGAAGAAGAGTATAAAAACAACGGAATCGAAATAAACTCAAAGAAAACCGAATACCTAACAACAGAAAACAAGGATATGAGAAACCTAGAGATAGACGAGGGAAGACAAGTAAATGGAACAGATAAATTCTAGTATTTAGGAACCATAATATCGAACCAGGGAACAACAGAAGAAGATATAAACAAGACAAACAGACTTAGACAAACAAGAAACTGTATAAGACAACTAAATTCAGTGCTGTGGGATAAGAACAGTACGATAAAGACAAAAAAGAGAATATATAATACCCTGACAAGAAGTATCCTGACATATGGGTCCGAAAACTGGACAATAAACAAGAGAAATAGAGGTAGAATAAGAGCAGTAGAAATGGAGGTCCTGAGGAGAAGCTGAAGACTTACAAAAAGAGACAGAATTGAAAACGCAGAGATTAAGCGGAGAATGGGAGTGCAATCAGACATAATCGACTATATAGAGGAGAAGAGACTATCCTGGTACGGACGGCAGAAGAGCGGACAGAGGACGCTGGATAAACAAAATTACAGAATGGAGCAAGAGCTGGAAGACCCGAAGGTCATGCAGAGACGAAATCGACGAGGCTATGGAGAAAAGAACCCTGCGAGATGGAGACTGGAATGACAGGGAAAATTGGAGAAAACGGTTGAGTGAAGGAAGACAGTGAAAACTGTGGAAATCCTTAGTAGTAGTAGTATAAAGAAAGTGGACAAAATCAATCCCAAATAAATTATTTTATGTAAAGAAAAGAAGATATAAATGTAAGCACTGCACAATAATAGTGAGACAGTAATCCAACAACATACAAAAGTTGCTTGTGCTAGACAAAAAGCGAAACAAAACCAAAATATCGGAGTGAGCCACAAAAAATTGGAAAGGAAAAATAAAAGACAAGGAAGGAGGTTAATTCAATGCAAAAATAGTAGAGAAAATGTGTTGAAACATGAAAAGAAGAGTCCTTATACAATTTTAGGGAAAATTGCTAGTATCATTAGAGAGAACTATTGAAATACTTAGAAGAACGTTAGAGAAGTAGTTTGAGAATAAGAAGATCTGGTAGTGGTCCAACTAGGTTCAAGCAAAAATAAGAGAGAAAAAAAGATTATATAAACAACTACAAGAAAATAGGTCAGACACAGATCTTCAAAACTATATGATCGCTAAAAAGGAAGCGACAGTGGTAGTAGCAAATGCTAAAGCAGAAGCATATACAAATTTATTCGATCAACTTGACAAGAGAAAAAAAGCAAAGATATATAAATAGATGACGTGACTTTTGTCTAAGAGACGAAATACCGGCCACCTTCTGTTTTTATATGATATTTTTTTGACTTATTTTGTAGTAAATTCGTATAAAAATATACGTAAATTCAGAAAAAATCACCTGAACGTATTAAAATTAGTTTGTTGTAGTTAGAAGACACTCCAAGGATCCCGTTAGTAGCGCGTCTCCCAAATGGGGGATAGGGAATGCCCGACCGGGATTAACGGTGGGTAGAAGAAAATAAAATACCTCCTGTGGACCAACAGGTAATTCACTGAATGATTGCCGGTATAGCAATCCCCCACTTTCTGACCAATGGCTTAGGGCAGACGAGTTGGTAGACTCTTTTGTCCTGAAGCTGAGATACCGGGACCCAAAGTTAGAAGAATCAGTGGTTTGGTCCACGGAATAAGAATAAAGAAGGCAACGAGAAACTAGTATGTTAAAGATCCCTATGGATATCTTTAGTACAATCATAATGGCTGTACAAGACAACACAAACTCGCTTACTGATCATAGACATCGTAGACCAAGATCCGGCAAGAGAGCTGATTCCCGTGACCACAGGGTCTCCCAGGTCCTTAAAATGGAAAATCCCTGTGAAATGCCTAATAACACACATTTAAGAAAAATCCACATGAATTGTCTAAAGAGAATATCCACTTAAAACGTTAGTTAAAAAGAGTTTTCATTGACGATAGGCACTACATAGAAACACGTAAGCGTAGAAATTATCAAAAACGGGTTTAGGAAAGATGCTTTATATCATTTAACCGTTATATTATCATGTCAGAGGAAAAATACTACCCTGAAAGCCTAAAAGATGGAGAGATCAAAGGAGATTCGAAGACCAAACAATAGTTGTAGCTGAAACCGCAAATACTAATATGGATGCTATTACCGCCAGCAATATTGATCAGTCAGTAAATAAATACCAGATTGTGGAAAACCATACAACCAATATTTCTGATGCAACTTTAAGCCGTAGTTCTCCAAAAATAAGTTTTGAGCAGCTGATATTAAACACTGATGAACAGACAAATAATCAAAGTCCTTCTGGCTCAAAAAGAAAAAAAGTCGTTACTTCCGAAGAAATTGTGAATAAACTTACAGAAGAAAATATATTAAAGAACATAAAAGAAATAGAAAAACAAACAAAAAAATAGAACGCAGAAAGAAAAAAAGCAAAAATATAAAAACCGAACAGGATTAAGAAACGAGAAGAAAGTTTTAGTAGCTCAGAATCGGAAGAAGATTAGAATATGTTGACTCTGAAGATGATTCAGATCCTGAAATATTTGAAGAAAATAAGCAAATAGTTAAGAAAGAAGTGCCAACAGTTGAAGAGTTAGGAAAGACCCAAATCGTGCTGGGTATTTGGGTTGTTGTTGAGTACACATCCAAAAAACATATAAACATTTTATTGGAAGAATTGATAACAAGTTTGAAAATGAATGGAAAATTTGCTTTTTAAGATATAAAAAGAGTAGTAACTCCTTTTTTTGATTTGATATGGAAGAGGCGATATGATACTTGAAGATGATATCGTAAAAAGTGTACCAGAACCCGTTAAAGACAGAAAGGATCATTTTATGTTTGACGTAAATTTTGTCAGGTTCGTAACTTGTTTAAAATAAATTAATTAAAATTTTGCAAACACTAAAAAATTCGTTTTTCTTACACTTTTAAAAAATTTACACTTGTCCCAAAAACAACACATGCTGTTCTAAGCTAAACTCCATTGTCACACTTACCCCAAATTGACGGAAAAGTGATAACCATGGATACTTTAGCAAAATTTAACATAATTTCTACATTTGATGTTACGAACGTGCTCAAATTTGGGTATATGTAGTAAAGTCCCAACGCACACCCAACACACGAAGGGTTTTCTACCAGTCAGCGACAGAGTAATGATCATCAAATTAAATGGACAACTATTCGACATAAATATAATACAGGTATACGCCCCGACAGCAGACAGCACAGGTGCAGATCTTGAGATTTTCTACTCCGATATTGAAAAGATTAAAAAACACATAAAATCAGATGACATCAACATATTTATGGGAGATTGGAATGCGAAGGTAGGGGCAGAAAAGGTCGAATCGATCATCGGCCCATACGGTTTAGGAACGAGGAATGAACGAGGCACACACTTTGTTGAATTTTGCTTGAAGAGAACAACTTGGTGGTTCTTAACACATGGTTTAAATTACCAAAAAGACGTCTGTATACGTGAAGGTCTCCTCAAGATTGCGAAGGAAATATTGTGAGGAACCAAATCGACTACATTACAATTAATAAACGGTTCCGTAATGGTATTCTAAATGTAAAAACGTACCCAAGCTGTGCCATAAATTCAGACCACAATCCTGTAGTTGCAACTGTCAGAATAAAACTTAAAAGAGTAGGCAAGGCTAAACCCAGTCAGAGAGTAGCATGGAGTAGTGCTGACAAGGGGCAAAAAAATATGAATAAAGACATGGTAGACACGCAGTTAGAGTCTAAGACATTAGATCCCACTAAAGAGAAGACAATAAAAGAAAACATTAAAGACATGTGGGGAAAATTTAAAAATACTGTCCTGGAGGCAGCAAACCCAAATATACAGAAAGAAAACCGTAAACAAAGAAAACCATGGATGACAAACGAAATATTACAAATTATGGAGAGGAGACGGATGGTAAAAAACAAAACCTAACAAGATACAAAGAGCTTAACAGGGAAATTGAGAGAAAGATAAATGTAGCTAAGTCACAGACTAGGTTTGGATATTAATCTTTCCAAAACCAAAATCATGGTATTCCACAAGAACCCCCATGAAGAAATTACACCCAACATACAAATCAATGGTATCACCCTTCAGAACTCCCAAAGCTTCATATACCTGGGCAGAGAGCTAAACAGTCAGCTAGACCATTCAAAAGAAATTAGAAGACGTATTGAAATAGCAAGATCTGGATTCATGAACATGCGTAAAATGCTCTGTAACCCCAAGCTATCAATCACAATAAGGTTACGAACACTAAAGTGTGGTCTCTACTACTATATGGCTGTGAGACCTGGACATTAAAACAGTATGACGTCAACAAACTGAATTCATTCGAAATGTGGATGTACCGCCAAATTCTAAGAATAAGCTGGACCAGCAAAACTACAAATGAAGAGGTATTGGAAATAATAAACACACGACCTCATCTGGTTAATACAATCAAAATTAAAAAAACGTCATATCTAGGACACATAATGCGCCATAAGGAATTTGAGCAGCTCCAGGTAATATTAGAAGGCACAATCGAGGGTAAAAGGGGTATAGGAAGAAAGAAAAAATCCTGGCTCTGAAACATCAGAGATTGGACTCACAAAACAGGAAATGACTTAATCCATCAAGCCCAGAACAGAGAGAAATTTGCCATATTGATCGCCAACCTCAATAGAGAAGGCACTTAGGAGGAGGAGGTAGTAAAGTTCGTAAGCAATCTAGGAAAAAAATATCAGGACTTAAAACATCTCCTAAATCATGCAAAATATGTCATAAAAATCATTTAACTGAAAACTAAATCACACTTCGACAGGTTCACCTTATAGACATTGTTGTCAATATCTGGGCACGATTGTGAACAAAATTTCGACAAAAATATCCTAAAATATCGAAAGCTACTACTAAAAACTCCATCCTTACAATTATAGTGTGATATGTTTAATAAATAAAAATAAACTAGGACAGCACAATATTTTTAAAACTAAATCAATATAAAGGTTATCAAAAAGAACGTCCAAATATATCGAACAATAATAAAATGCAGAAAATAATAATCTTAACTAGTACAAAAACTGTTACAATAACAAACCAATAACAGTTTACTAATAAACAAAGCAGGTCAGGTCTTAACAGCAAAACAAATTAAAAGAATTTAGTACAATAACTCGACAACACATTAAATCCATCAATAATTGTCAAACTTAATATGAGGTAGGTGTGCCTGGGTACGGTAGATGATGAGCACAAGGGAAGGGGTACGCAGACAGCGTGTCCCGATACCACAGAACATACCACCCAATGGGGCATCGGAACATTAATTTTATAGGTACTCTCTCTCTTCAATCCTGACCCCCCAGGGGGAGTGTAGTGGTCGACGTGATGTCGTGTATTGTCTGTCTCCAGAGATCTCTGTCTCTAGTCATGTCTTTTAATTCATGCATAGGTCTTTGTCATATTCCTGTAATTTGATCTATCCATCTTGTTGGGGATCTTCCTCGTGATCTTCGGCCTTCTACCTTTCCTTGTATTATGAGTCTTTCCATGTTTTCTGTGTTTGCTCTCATAACATTCCCAAAATATTTTAATTGTTGGAGATGGACTTTACTAGAGAGTCGTTGGCTAACTTTTAGCTCTCTTAAAATTGAATTATTTGTTCTACGGTCGGTCCAAGGAATTCGTAACATTTGTCTCCAACAGAACATTTCAGTGGCATCTATCTTTTTTCTCTCCGATTGTCTCAGAGTCCAAGATTCACATCCGTTGGTCAGTATTGGGAATATTAATCAGTTGATCAACCTCATCTTTATCGCTCTTGAAATTTGACAGTCTTTCCATATTTTGGTCATTTTTGCTAGATCACATCTACGTTTAATCTCTTCTTGTGATGACCCTGTGTTTGTGATTAATGATCCCAGATATAAGTATGAGCTCACAACCTCGAACCGGTCAATTGTGGTTATGTGTGGATGATTGTTGTGTAGTCTATCCACTATCATGATCTTTGTCTTTGATATGTTTAATTGCAGACCAAATATTTGACTTTCGTTTTCGATCAGTCGTATAAGTTCTCTTTATAGGTACTATGTTGACATTAATTTCATTATAAGGCTTTCTTACAGTTGCCTAGGAAACGCATAAGAAAGCCTTTAAGAGGTAAAAGCGACATATTGTCGTACAAAAACGCTTACGATGAAATCAAATTATGTGCTTCTTTAAGAAGAGCAGCAGAGAAGTACGGCGTTAACTATGTTTTTCTTTTGATATACAAGCGAAAGAGAGATTCAGCAAATAAAGATGCCATGAACAATTGGAAAATATTAAAATGGGAGATGTGGGCCATAACAAAGTTTTTACCGAAGACCAAGAATGCCAATCAGTGAAGTAGCTAATTCGTTAAGCGGACATATATTTGAGTCTCTTCACAAAGTAGGTAAGAAACTTGGTCTTTGAACTTACTATGATATAATCAATAAGTCAATGTATTTTATGATAATCTTCATGTCGTTATGGATCGTGTTCACTTTAAACCTCAGGACATATATAATGTCAACTACTGTGCAGATGGTGTTACTACAGTGCAGAAGCCTGACAGAGTTGTTGCTAGACGTGGCATAAGGCAGGTTGGCGCACTTGCCTCTACTCAACGAGGTATTCTAGTCACATTAGCATTTGCTGCTAACGTATTTGGCAACGCTATTCCACCTACGTTAGTGTTTCCTCAAATTAGATATCAAGAGCATTTCATTAAAGATGGACCAGTGGGATCAATCGTTGCCGGTTATCTATCGTGGAGGATGAAAGAAGAGACATTTATTATATTTCTTAATTATTTTCAAACACATGACACGTTGTCGCATAAGATATTATTGGTGCTAGACAATCAATCGTCCCATATACATATAAACTCCTTAGATTTTTGCAAAGATAATAAAATATTACTATCATTTCCATCCCACTGCTTCCACAAACTACAGCCCTTAGATACATCCGTTTGTGGGCCTTTTAAAAGAGCCATTAACACTGCCTGTGATCTCTGGCTGGATGCAAAATCATCCAGGCAAGATCATGACTACAAAATACTGAGTATTATAACTATCACAGTTTTTAAAGATAAGAATCATCCCATTTAACCGCCACTTGTTCCAAGAAACTGATTTTGCGCCATCGTTCGCGACAGACAGACCTAATCCAAATGCTACTGAAGAGGTGGACGTTTTTAATTAACATAACATTAAACTTGCACCTGATGACGAATCTCCAAAATGACGAGCCCGAAAATAGAGCATCAACTAATCAAGCTGCTGTGCATTCATTATCCACTAAATGCTTACACCACTAAAAATCGCCTCCAAATAACAAAAACATCACCTAGACAAAAACCTCTAGAACCTAGCCAAGCTGGTTGCAAGAATTGCAATCTGGTTTAATGAATCTGGAATCAGACATCTCTCCACGTGATACTGTTTTGCGTCAGTAATCAGAACCGTCTACAAGTAAGCAGTCTGTGTTCTGGCCTAAGACTTTATGGCCTTACCCTAAAACTCCACCTAGAAAACTAGGAAACAAGGTCAAATTACCAAAAAGTCTAGAAAGGAGTATGATGAGCAACAGATACGGTTAAAAAGTAGACAAACAGAGAAAAAAGTACTCGAATTATCTACTAGAAAGATAATAAAAGACAAAGGAAGAGAAGAAGCGAAAACAAATTAAGACTAATACACCGCCAAAATCGTCATCAGAATGAAGATCAAGATTAATACTAATAATATGATTGTCTTATTTGCTAAAAGACCTACTTAGTTAAAGACAGTTGGATTCAGTGCCAAGGTAGATACAAACAATGGTCCCAAGTCTGGTTAAATATAGATTTCAAATATGATACTTTTAAAAGCGTATACTTATTTATATTCCACGTTTTTATGTATAAATGAATACACACTTGCAAAATTACGCCATTTAGTTCTTTTTTCGTCCGTTAATATTAAAATTTTAATCTTAACTGTAGTATTTTAAATATTTTTTTTAATTAAACCAGGTTGCACAGAAGAAAAACGTCTCCCCATGTTTCCCTTTTCGTGGATCTATCCCTGCATAATCAGTTGGAGCAAGGTGTATTTCTCTCCATGTGTAATATATCTAAGATGTTCCAATCCTTTCAAAAACTAATTTTTTAAAATTTGAATAAATAATAAAACTGGGAAAAATTCATTCATTCATTTCGTTGTAAATAGAAACATACATCAAGTAATAGTAATAAGTTAATTATTACAAATAGTAATAAGTTAATTATTATAATAAACTTACCTGTTATAATTGTAAAATACAAAAAGAAAGTTTCGGGCTTCTTGGAGAAACTATTAGATTTTAACTGTGGCATATTTTCTTGTTCTTGACAAACATATTTAACTTCATATAATTCCTTTATATTTTTCTCCATCTTAAGCAATGGACTTTTTATTACTGTTTACAAATAATTTAATACTATCTGTTCTCACCCAAATACACCAGTGGCGGCTTTTGGGGGTAGGCAGGATAGGCCGGGCCTACCCAATAATTTTAAGAGCTTTAAAATTGAAAAATATATATTCATAAATTATGTTAATGCATGTAAATAACTTTTAAATGTACTAAATCACTCAATACATTAGCGTCCGATAAAACAACTATGTTATTATATTACCACAGAAAGCATCAAATCGTATTCAGGCATTTTAAATATCATTAATAGGCCCGATAGTAACTGGCCGACCCAGCGCACATAAGATCCCCGTACAAAAAGCGTTTGAAGTTAAGAAGTTTGCCGGACAACGATTTATATTGGCGTGTTTATGCTCGCTGTGTAGGCACCAGACGATCGGACCTAGCGTCGACCATCGTTGTCACTTGTAATTATCGAATTGTAATATAAATTTTCTTTCAAATTATGCTAAAAAAATATGTAACATAATCTATAATTGTAACATATTTTTAAACAAACAACACAATTGCAAACAAGTTCACGGTTGCATAAATAAATTTTAAAAAATTCGTAAAATTCGAAAAAAAAAAAAATCACATTTGCATGATTTCTATATCTTCTGATTGTATACAACTTATATATGGCAACACTGGCATTAGTTCAATTTTCACTGTTATCTGTTATTACTAGTTGCACTAGTTGTTTGGTCGATCAAGGTTGATTTTTAAAAATTTTTCTTGGAATAGTGAGATCGTTTTATAACTGATACATAAAAATGAGTTTTTCTGACGCTTTACCAGGTTGCAGTAATAATAATGTTGATAGTGAGTGTTTGGGCATTGTTGTTTCACTATTGGAATTGCCATTATCTAGAAGAACTGAAGTTGATAGAAAAAAGATTATTATGAATGAAAGGCCTACTCCAACATTGCGTATTGACCAAAAAGATGGGAAAAAGGTACGTACTTTTAATTGTTCTTGGTATGATGTCTATAAATGGTTGTCTGGAAATATTACAAAAAATAGACTATATTGTTGGCCGTGTTTGTTATTTTCTAATAAGAAATGTGTATGGAATTGTGAAGGATACTTTGATTTAAAAAATGTGTCTGCCTCCTTAAAAAAACATTCCAGTTGCAAGGAACATTTAAGTAATTTCCTGTCCTTTAAGGATGTGCAGAAGAGGGCGTTTTCTGTTCGCGATTTGCTAGATGAAAAATCAAAAATCGCAAAAATTAGATACAATGCAGAAGTTAAAATGAACAGAGAAATCATTAAAAAATTAGTTTCTTTAACTTGTACTTTAGCGAAACAGGAACTGGCTTTCCGTGGCCACGACAAATCCGATGATTCCCTAAATCCTGGAAATTTTAAAGCGATTTGGGAACTAATATTAAAATCAACTCCAGAACTAAATGATCACTGGCAGAAAAAAATATATTTCAGAGGTATCTCAAAAACGATACAAAACGAACTAATCGATCTAGTGAAAGACGAAATTCATATTTTTATCGAGAATGTCATAAACAACTCCACATTTTTTGCTGCATTGTTGATGAAACAACCGATTACTGAAAGGGCACAATGTTCAATAGTATGCAGACTAGTGGACACAAAAGGCGTTGTTCAAGAATATTTCTTAGGTTTTTTTGATCTCGGGGAAGACCGAAGTGCTCCAGCGTTACGTGACTTACTGTTTAGTGTAATCGGTAAATTTGACTGTAAAGCTAAATTAATTGCTCAAACCTACGATGGAGCTAGTGTTATGTCGGGAAAACTTCTGCACCAGATTCGTCGAGATTCTGCACCATTGGCAATATTTACCCATTGTTTCGCTCACCGCCTCAACTTAGTTTTACAGCAAAGTTGCTCCAACATTACAACAGTCAAAATATTTTTCTCAACGCTTCAAGGTATACCAGCTTATTTTCACCAATCGTCCAAACGATCCTATTTTTTAAATAAAATACTTGGAAAACGAATTCCCACAAATAGTGAAGTAAGATGGAATTCAAATGCAAAAGCAGTTTATGCTGTGTCACAAGAAAGAAAGAAATTGTTACAAGTCTTTCAGGACATAATGAATTGCCCAGAATCAAATGCAAAATCAATTAGGCAGGCAGATGGTTTTAAACGTAAATTGGAGGACTTGGAATTTGTATTTTTATTAAATGTTTTTAGTGATATATTTCAACAAACTGAGCTCTTATACAACATATTGCAGAAGAAAAATAATGATGTCCAATTGTGTGCCAATTCAGTGTCCAGATGTGTTGCAATGGTAAAGAGCTGGAGAAATGACCTTATATTTTCTAACCATTTTAACATTTCTGTTAGCGAAACACATTCTGAACCCATCTTAAGTCATAGTGAACTTGATATTTTACCTGGTAGTGTATCTAATAACGGAGATCAAAGTTTTTTGGAGAAAGCTAAAACTAAATTTAGAAGGGTCTTTTTTGAGATTTTGGACAATATTATCACTCAATTAGAGCAACGTTTCTCGGATTACGCAAAGTTTCAATTTCTGGAATTGGACGATAATAAAAGATTCACAGAATATGGCGCTAAATTTCCACAAAAAGCTTTGGACTCATTGATGGATACATATGAACCACTTTTTAATAAATCTTTATTAAAAACAGAACTGGAAATGATTTTTTCTGCTATTCATCGTGAAAATTTTCACGATAAGAGTTTGTTAGAACTAATTAAAAGTATTTTTGATAACGAAACCAATGAAATTCTTCCTGAAAGCTATAAGTTATTTTGTTTACTTGCTACAATACCTGCAACAAGCGCTTCAGTTGAAAGAACGTTCTCCACTTTAAAGCGAATAAAGTCATCTCTTCGAAATACAATGACGCAAAATCGGCTTTCATCACTGGCTACTGCATCAATCCAGAAAGATGTTCTTGCTCGAATAATGGAAACGGGCGACACATTTTATGAACGAGTAATTGACAAATTTTCACAAAGCAAAGAGAGAAGAATAAACCTGCTCTATAAATAATAAAATGTTTTTGTAATCTACGTGTATATTTTAGTTCATAATTTTATTTATAAACAAATAGTTTACAAATAACATAATTAAATGTAAGTCTGTTACAGTTATCTTATAATTTTAAGTATTTTTATAAATAAAAATAAATTTATATTTGCATGTATGTAAAAGAAAATCATGGATCTTGAGGGTGATTACTTTTCTCTGATGCAAAGTTATTTTTAGTCTTACCACCAATAGGATAAGTGGATTTTCAAATATTTTTAAGGGGTGGGTCATGACCCCGTGACCCTTCCTCTGGTCCGCCAGTGATTAGACATAGCTATATGTAATTTGCTGGCTTGGCCTACCCAAAATTTTACCACACCAGCCGCCACTGAAATACACAAATACCATAGACTGTGATTACACCATATAAGCAATTATAAATTGTGGACAATACAATGATAGTGTAGAAGCCGTTATAACAATATTTTTAGCAATTTCTTTGCTTATTAATAATTTAATAATAAATATATCGGAGAAGAGATAAGAACGTTATAACAATGGTGCAAAAATCATTTCCCGCATTGATTTTCGATACTATTATAGAGAATAATCTCTCTATGAAGGTTTTTTTAAGTCAATCGTATCATGGAAGTAAAATTGAAAATTTTATAATCTTTCTGAAAATCTTCTTTTATTGCCCATCCAGACATTGAAGATTATCACATGACGTTGGATCTTGTTGGCTGCTTCATAAAATATATCAACAATCGATTTATTTAACAAAACACTAAGATTTGCGGTAAAACATAACAAAAATTATCTCTTCAGAAAGAGGTTCACGGATTACTAGTATTAGAGTAGAGCCGTATCCTCTTTTAGTTTGCAGGCCGGGTGATACCGGATGGGTGGCTACGATCATCACGCAACCAAACATCCAACATCCGAAAACCGACCCAATCCTGCTGGTCTGTTCCTCGCCGTTCTGATCCGGAAAGTAACAGACCTGCAGCGTATGGCCCTTTATGGCTCGATGTTTGGCCAGACTAATCAAATACGAGAATCCATCATCCTCCTCTGCACGAAAGTAAATAGGACATTCACAAAACATGTAAAGAGAATATATACGTTGGTTGGTAAAACCCTAACCTAGACGAATATAGACCCCACGGTAGAAAGAAACCGGTACTTATACTCGAAGTAAAATTCTCATTAGCTACTTATGTTAAGACCTCATAAAATGACTATGAATGTGGATGCGACCCTAAATCAACCCAATGAACGTTGAACCTTGAAAGGTTTAAAATTCTCATGATATGAGGATTCAACGGACACCATGTTCCGCGAGCTCCAACGATTAAACTTGACATGCAAATAACCTGGATATCGGGTCTTTATAGTCTGAAGGATTCGACGCTCAGGGTACAGCGCTATTTAATTGGCGGCGGTTGTACTTAGGGCTTAAGGATCGTCCTAGCTGACGGCAACATCCACGACACTTTACCTCATCCTATTATGCGACAAGGTCAGGTATTGTTCTGAAGGTATTTTCTTGTGGCATTGTAAATAATTACTATTTAACTGAAAATACGCCACAATTAAAGATAAAAATACGTTTATTGACGTTTCAATTTCCACTTCGGAAATCGTTCTCAAAATACAAACAGTAAATTAAACAAATTTTGTTTTTTGTTACGTAGTGAAAAATTCTTCTAATAATTTAATTTTATCTGACTCATTTATATTGACAATTCAGACATACATTATGCATTTTAAAGTAGACGACTTTAAAATGATATTGCCAATATTGTTGAGTTGCGCTCCTGGGACGACTTTACTTATAAGATAGTTCATTCGATTACATGAAATCAACTTGAGAATATCCGTCAGAAAAAAATCATAGCATGTAATTCGTCTTTAAAAAGACAAACACATGACATGATGACAGTAAAATTCTCCTGTTAGTGATTCCATAGTAAATTATGAGGGA